TGATCCCAGAAACTACCTTTGTGAGCATATCGGCCGGATTATCTGCAGTACCAATCTTTTGAAGCAGAATATCCCCTTCATTCACAATTTCTCGGATGAAATGGAAACGGACATCAATGTGCTTGGTGCGGGCATGATGAACCTGGTTCTTTGCCAAACAAATGGCACTCTGACTGTCACAAAACACCTCAACGTGCTTCTGAACAATTCCCAAGTCTTCAATCAACCCATGTAGCCAAATAGCTTCCTTAAAGGCTTCCGTCACTGCCATGTACTCTGCCTCTGTAGTAGACAAAGCCACCGTTGACTGAAGCGTTGACCTCCAACTTACCGGCCCTTTAGCAAGCGTAAATAAATACCCTGTTGTTGACCGGCGTTTGTCTAAGTCACCAGCATAATCTGAGTCCACATATCCTTCCAAATTCTGCCCGAGTCGGTTATCTCTCTAGAACTTCAATCCCAGATTGACCGTGCCATGTATGTACCTTAGGATCCATTTCACTGCCTGCCAGTGATCTTTTCCTGGATCATGCATATACCTGCTTACCATACTCACAGCATGCGAGATGTCAGGCCGTGTACAAACCATAGCATACATTAATGCACCAACTGCATTTGCATATGGAACCTGTGCCATATGCTTCCGTTCTTCTTCTGTGCGTGGAGACAACGAAGCACTAAGCCTGAAATGAGGGGCCAATGGTGTACTTACAGCTTTGGTTTTCCCATTGATGCCAAATCTGTCTAACACCTTTTTCAGATACTGGGTTTGTGTCAGACAAACCGTGCCCTTCTTCCTGTCTCTCTTGATCTCCATGCCAAGAACTTTCTTTGCTTCTCCCAAATCCTTCATTTCAAACTCCCTTGCTAACTGTGCCTTGAGTTTGTCAATCTCCACCTTGCTCGTAGATGCAATCAGCATATCATCTACATATAAGAGCAAATAGATGAAGGAACCGTCGGGAAGCTTACGGAAATATACACAATGATCAAATTGACTTCTTGTGTATTCTGTCTCCATCATGAACCGATCAAATCGCTTGTACCACTGTCTCGGGGATTGCTTCAATCCGTACAACGATTTGTTCAGCTTACAGGCCCAATTCTCTTTTCCAGCAATTTTGAAACCATCTGGCTGGGAGATGTATATCTCCTCTTCAAGATCTCCATGTAAGAAGGCAGTTTTGACGTCGAGTTGGGCGAGCTCGAGATCAAACTGTGCAACCAAAGCTAACAAGATGCGAATAGACGTGTGCTTCACAACAGGTGAGAATACCTCATTGTAGTCTATTCCTTCCTTCTGAGCATAGCCTTTAGCTACCAATCTAGCTTTGAATCTGATGTTGTCTCTGCCTGGAATGCCTTCCTTCTTGGTGTAAACCCACTTACACCCAATTGCTTTCTTGCCTTTTGGAAGTTGCGCCAACTCCCAAGTCTGGTTCTTGTGAAGTGACCCGATCTCTTCATCATAGCCTCCTTCCATTTGACACTTTCTGCATTATGCACGGCTTCTTTGAAAGTTCAAGGAACATTGTCTTCAATGATTGGAAGTGCATAGGCTACCATATCGGTCATCCAACTGGGTTGCTTAGTAACCCTTTTTCCTTTCCTGATTGCAATGGGTTCTAATTGTTGCGGAGCCTCTGGATCTTCATTTTCATCTGAACTCTCTTCAGAGCTATCCTCTGAGACTTCTTCAGGATGGTTGATTGGCTGACTAGTCTTTGCTGGAGTCTCAAACTCCACCTGAACTGACTTCTTCAATGCTTCCTCATTCTGTTGAGGATCTGGTTGCTTCAGCATTGCAGACTCATCAAAGGTAACGTCTCTTTTGATGAGAACTTTCTTTGATTCAGGGCACCACAGTCTGTATCCCTTGACACTGTCACCGAAGCCCAAGAAGATGGCTTTCTTGGCTCTTGGATCCAACTTAGATTCTGTAACATGAAAATATGCTGGACATCCAAAGATACGTAACTGATCATAATCAGTAACTGGGACTTCTGACCATACCTCCATGGGAGTCTTCCCATCTAATGCTGCAGTAGGTAGTCTGTTGACAAGATGACGAGCATAGTTCAATGCCTCGCCCCAAAATGCCTTGCTCAATCCAGACTATGACAGCATACACCGGACTTTCTCCACCAAAGTGCGGTTCATGCGTTCTGCAACTCCATTCTGCTGCGGTGTTCCAGGAACTGTGAAATGTCTCACTATCCCTACATTCTGGCAAACCTCAAAGAAGGGATCTGATGTATATTCTCCACCATTGTCAGATCTGAGCTTCTTGATCCGTCTGCCTGTCTGGGTCTCAATCATCTTCTTCCACGTAAGAAAGATGTCTAAGACTTCATCTTTGTGTTTCATTGTATAAATCCAAACTCTTCTAGAGAAATCATCAATGAACGACACAAAGTAGTGTTTACCTCCCAACGAAGCATGCTTGGAAGGACCCCATACGTCGGTGTGGACGTAGGCTAGAATCCCTTTGGTACGATGAATTGCAGTACCAAACTTGATTCTTGTTTGCTTGCCCAATACACAATGCTCGCAGAACTCAAGCTTCCCCGTCTTGGCGCCTTTCAACAGGCCTTGCTTTACCAACCCTTGTAAAGCCTTCTCACCGACATGCCCTAGGCGCATGTGCCAACGTTTGGAAGTGTCTGATGCATCATCTTCTGAGCTGGAACTGGTGGAGACAGCCACTCTCCCTGTGACTGTAGAGCCATCTAGGAAATATAAATTTCCCTGTCGAGTACCCTTCATTACAACCAATGCTCCTCGAACAACTTTAAGGACTCCACCTTCCATGGTTATTCTGTAACCTTTGGAGTCTAAAACTCCCACTGAGATGAGATTCTTGGTTAGATCTGGTACATACCGTACATCTTCAAGAATTCTGATTGTTCCATCATGGATCTTCAGTTTAATTATTCCAATCCCCTTTGTCTGGCAAGCTTGGTCGTTGCCCATCAGCACAACTCCTCCATCGAACTCTCGTAAGCTCGAGAACCACTGCTTGTTAGGACACATATGGAATGAACATCCGGAATCTATTATCCATTCATCCGACTGGCCATATGATGAAACTGTGAAGGCTCCTCCTTCATCATTATCTCCATCTTGTGCAATATTCACCTTCTCTTCTGTCTTGTCTTTATTTGGACAATCTTTTGCCCAATGCCCCTTCTCGCGACAAGCTGCACACTCGTCTTTTGCAAGACGTCTTTTGTCTGAAGGTTTCCCCTTGGATTTTGAGCGAGACTTGCCTCACCCTGTATTTCTTCTGTTATTTGTTCTGCCTCTGACTGTTAATGCCTCGGATGTTGAGTCCCTGTTTGCAGACTTATCTTTCCTTCTGAACTCATTGTTCACCAAGGCGTTTGTAACATCAATATACTTGATCTTCTCTTTACCGTACAGTAAAGTAGTGGTGAGATGATCCTACGAGTCAGGCAAGGAATTTAACAATAACAGTGCTTTGTCTTCATCACCAACTTGATCATCCAAATTCTTCAAATCCGTAATAATTTTGTTGAAGTTATTTAGGTGTTCGTTCATCGAAATACCTTTAATGTAGTCGAAACGAAACAACCTCTTCCTCAAGTAGAGCCGGTTCTCAATGCTCTTTGTCATGAACTTATCTTCCAGCGCCTTCCAAAGCTTCTTCGCAATATCATATTCTGTAAAGGCATACTTCTCCTCTTTTGCAAGGCAAAGTCGGATGGAACTGCAGGCCAGGAGATTCACCCTCTCCCATTCTATCTCGTCTAGGTCATCTGGTTTGTCTCCCAGAGTGAAGTGCAGGTTCATTTGGACAAGCATATCCTTAACTTCGCATCTCCACATGCTGAAGTTGCTGCTTCCATCGAACTTCTCTACGTCGAACTTGGCATGGGACACCGGGGTCTAATGCCTAGAAGTGCTTGTACTGGCTGAATTATTTACGGACTCGGTTGATCTAGATTCTGCCATTTTTTAGAAACTTCAATTCAAAAAACTGACCGTACAGATGTGTCCGGAATACTCCAAATAGTTGGGAAGTACTATTGGATCGTCAAAAACGGACTCCGAATGGCTCCGATCTGGCAAAAACACTTTGGACGGGTCAGATCTACAGAATCTGGTGCGCTGAGATGCACCGGATAATTTCTCCGGTCAACGGCTGGTCAACGGCGCAGGCGGCGCGGTCAACGGAGGATCGGCGGCGCGGTCAACGCGGCTTGACGGCTGGTCAACTCGGCTTGATGGCGCAGTCAACTCGGCTTGACGGCTGGTCAACGCGGCTTGGTCAGCGGCTCAGGCTGACTGGGCAGGGCACATGGCTGACACGTGGCTGATGTGTCGGCTGACTAGGTCGTCTTCTTCACTGAGCGGCGTGTGGGTTTCACGCGCAGTCTTCTCCTGGCGCGTGACGGCGCGTCGAAGCTCCTTTGGGCTCTGTTTTTGCTGTTCTGGACTCCTCTCGGAGAGTTCTTCCTCCTGGTATGGTCAAAAGTGGATTTTGAGCACTTCGAAATCTGGGCACTTTCGGGAAAAATTCGATTTTTCGCAACCCGAGCTCTGATACCAATTGTTGCGGATCGGGGGAACACCAGGGAACTCAAACAAGCAATAACACACAAGATTTAACGTGGTTCGGCAAGTCGCCTACGTCCACGGGCAGCGGATTCACTATATTGAACAAAATGGTAAGAATTACAACACTCTCTGTAATTCTCTCTCTCTTTTTGCTCTCTAAGCTCACACCTCTCTGTTATCTCAGTTGTACCTCTCAATTCTCCTTAGCTTCTCTATATATAGAGATTACAAATGCAAGAGAAAGTCTTTGAAATGAGCTGGCTGCCAGCCCATTGTTGTGCTTTCGGTGGCTTTCCAGATTGATGGCTTTTCATGGCCTCATGGCCAACTCACATGGCCTCATGGCTTCCCCACCATGTAGCTGGCTGCCACTTTCCATCACATGGCCAGAATCTGTAGCCATTATTCAACACGGTGAACTTCACAGACACTGAAACAATATACGCTCTCGTGCAGTGCACTACAGACTTGTCTCCAGATGACTGTAAAACATGCCTTGAAACAGCAATATCAAACACTTCAACTTGCTGCTCTAAGTCTCGTGGCGCTAGGCTTTTCAGCCGTAGTTGCTTCTTAAGGTATGAGTTCTATGCGTTTTATGAGGATGCAAGTAAAAGTTCAACAGAAAATCAGAGGATATTTGCATGTAAGTGTTAACAAATTCTTTGTCAATATGCGAATTTGATGTACAAATAGTAAGCTGCAAATTTAGTAATTTTATTTCTTCTTGATTTTCGAAAGAAAGCAGCAGGTATTGGATGATTGTTGGCCTTGCAATTGGATCAGCAATTCTAGTTGTACCACTTGTGGTATTTTGTGTCTACTGTTTTGCTATAAGGAATCAAACTAAGACAAGTAATGATGCTATCTAGTTGAAGATTCTTTTTTTCCCCTTCACTAAAAATTATATCTTTTTTTTCATGTCTCTAAAATTAAACTTGTTATTTTTTATTATTATTTTTTTCCCCAATTTTAGAGGAAAGCCAAGTTTCTGGCCAAGAAATTAAATTACATGAAATTGGGGACCCCAACAAGATGTTGAATTCACCCCATGTGAAGGAGGTGATGCTCTTCCATGGGAACACACCTTGGTCAACAATGGAAGGCAACCAACCAAGTCAAGCTTGGTGGCCACCAACCATGTCAAGGGTCAAGAATGGAGGCTACCCAAAGGCACTCCCACCTACTCCAATGTGTATAAAGGGAGGGTGAGAGGAGAGGCCAAAGAGAAAGTGAGTGAGGAAGAAAACCGTGAACCAAAGAGTGCGAGAGATGTGAAGCGGAGAGACCGTCTCCCTCGGTGTGAGCGAGGGAGACGGGTGAGTGGCTGAGTGAGGAGAGTGTGAGCTCCTCCTCTATTGTAATCTTTCTGTAATCTCCTCATTGGTATAGTGATAACCGGTTACTCTCCCGTGGACGTAGGCATTGGGCCGAACCACGTAAAATATTGTGTCTCCTTGTGTGTGGGTGTGTTTTTCTGCTTGCAATGATTTCTATAAGGTCTTGGGCGGGATCCCAGATCCCAACACCAAGTTCATTTCAATCTTTTGATTCTTATTTCTTGGGTGCATCTTTCTTTTTTATTTTTATTTTTATTTTTAAAGTTCTTTATATTGATGTAAAACAAAGTGCTATATAGACAGCAAAGTTTACACCTTTAAAACAAAAGGAAGGGGCAAACTGCATCATAACAAACCGATCTATCCTAAGTAAGTTGGCACAAGAAAACTAGCAAAATCATATACGAGTAATCATCCAGAAGACATAACCAAAAGGAGATCATGAAGTTACCAATTATCAATTAATAGAGGCTAGGTTAAATAACAAGATATTACTATGAAAAAAAAATAATAAAATGAGTTATCTCATCTCACTTGCATACAGTAAATGTGGGAAAGATAGATTGTCCTGGTTTTATTTTCAACACTTACTAGGGTAGCAAAAACTTCTCTACAAATAAATTTCTAGATTCCACTTTTTCCATGGGACAAACTCTACACACACCTCTTCCTAAAGCTGTCAAAGGCAATGATAAAATCTGGACTTTTATTCTTTATTTATTTGTTTTCTTTGTTATTATGTAGCTCAAATCGCAAAGCACAGTCTATTCAATCTCATACTGTCACGGATATGCAATGTTTATTTCCAAATTAGGCAATCTAGTCTATACTTGTTTGTTGTGCGCATAACATAGTAATTCTAGGCTAATAAATGGAATAAGAACACGTAATGTTTTCAAAATCGGATATCACGGTTAGTAGAGGCCGGTCTTCGGACCGGGCGAAAGGGGGTGCTCATAGCTGACCTTCCCCGATCGTACCCAAGCTCCCGAGCCGAGACAACTCCGGTGATGACGGACGTGTGGCCTTCGGCACCGAGTCAGGTTTTCCTAAATTTCCCATTTTAAAACATTTAGGTGGCGACTCTGTATCTGGCAAAGCAGTCCATGTTTGGCACTACTTTTTAAAAAAATCTGTTTCTCAAAACGATTTGCCAGATTTGGACTCTTTGGTTCAAGATTAAGAACCGCGACACAAATCGAGAGTCCGAACTGTAGTAGCACGAGGCCCACGCGGGCGCTGTTACAGCTGCCTCTTTCACTTGATTTATATTCAGTTTATGTTTGACTGAAGGGCTTTCCATAGTTGCACAGCTTTTGTGCTACATTTGTTTTGGTTGCGTTTGCTTAGCCCCTACTTTTCCGGTCTCCCGCTTCATAATTTAATTGAGGTTCACTCTGCCATTCTAGCCTCTTTTTTGTTTCAAGTTGAAGTTGTTTACGGTTGTTGTTTGCAATATTGTAAGTAAAGGAATATGCTAACCTCAAAAATATGCCATTCCAACCTCTTTTTTGCTTCAAGCCTGTTGGTTTTTGTTGTTTGCAATAAATAGGCATTAGCATGACCCTTGAATTAATTGTGTAAGATTGATTAGTTTTATTTTTTATTTTATGTATATATATCTTTTTTGCTTATTTTAATTATGGGTGAATGTGGACTATTGACACTTTTGATTTGTTGGGGACAAACATGCCTAACTATAATTGGTGGGTGGTGTTGATCTGGAGTTTTGGTGCAATGAGGAGCCAAAGATTAGCTCATTCAACGGTGATTTTGATATGCCCCATAAACAGTTGTAAGTACTCAATTGGTGTTTTCGAATCTTTTTGAATAATTTACAGCTGTAAGTACTCAACACTAAAGAATGCATTTAGCTTCAAACACTAAGAATGATTAGAATTTTTTGCTTATTTTAATTATGGGTCAAGAGTATTGGAATTGCTTCAAGGGGGCTGAGTTCTTTCTTGCCTATGTCGGTCGCCGACACGAATAGTACAATCCACCCATCTGGGTTCCCTATGCAAGAATTCATGTCAAGCCTTAATTTTTCACTAGATGGGTTTGAAAATGGGTATAGAAGTTTGGTAGTAGTGCAAGGCTGCTTTTCCCATTTGAGGACTTGAAGCAGACACCAAACACAACTGAATTTGAGCAGAACAGAGGAGGGCAAGGAGGAGGAAGAGAGGGTACTAGTGGGTATTGGACTGGGATGATAACTGGTTTTCAGTTGTTGAAGAGCATGTTGATGCTTCTTTGGAGATGACAATGCGAAATGAAGTGATGAGGCTTATTGAAGACCTCAGAGTTGAGAGTTGAATGGTATTTGTTTCTAATTTAGTTCCTCTGATAAAAGAAAAATAATTAAGCTATTTTCTTTTTCTTTTTCTCATTTTATATTTCTCAGCACATTAACAGAGACTATTGCTATTACTCTTTTCTTATAGAAACTAGTGATAACCTCATTGTAAATGAACGACTGTTATTGGAAAGGCCGAAGAAGAAATTTTTGATTCAAATGTTATGTTTAAAAATGTGCTGACTTTTTGTTCTTTCAATGATCACTATGTTTTGATAATGATATGAATTCTGTTGTTAACATTTAGATAAATATTAGAAACTTTGTAATGTTAACTTTATTCTGCCAATGGACTGTTACAGGGCTTTTTTTTAGTTATAGGCAAAAGCACAAGAGGGTGAACATTAGAGCAGTGAAGCATTGGTGCAGATAGATCTTGCTAGAAGAGAGTCGTCTGTCAGAACTTGGGATTATTGTGATAGATGAACTGCACCTGCTAGCTGCCTTTGATGTTGTCTTTTTAATTTTTAGTGATGTTCATCAATTACTTCTTGTTTCTTTTTTTAAAATTGTTTTAATGCTTTTCTAATCGTAGTAGATTATAAAGATGGTTCTCATCACTGGGGTTTGTTGACAGGTGGGTGATCAGAATAGGGGTTATCTATTGGAGCTTATGTTGACAAAGCTTCGTTGTGCAGCTGGTGAAGGCAATATACAATCATCTAGTGGAGAAAGTTCAGGACCAAGCAGTGGGAAGACTGATCCTTCTCGTGGTCTTCAAATTTTTGGTATGACTGCAACCTTGCCAAGTGTGGCTGCTGTTGCCGATTGGCTTCGAGTAAGTGTATAAAATCACATCTCCAAATAATCTTAATTGGTTTGACTTAGGGTAAGAGGTGCAAACAAAAAGTTCGATGTATTTGTTGAATTTACTATATCGTATTTGTTAGTATCCAAATCAAGTTGATTTAGTCTATTTGGTTTAATTTAACATTAGATCCGTTGTGTCGATTTTGTATGGTGCTGAATCTTAGGACAATGAAGTTATGGGAAGAGGATTTGGTCATAAATGCATTGAAAAGTCACTCTAAGAGACTTGTGGGAGAAGACGGGACTCAAATCGAGTTCTCAGTTTGGGAGTTAGAGCCGGATTTCACTTTTAAAAAACAAATTAGTTTCTTAAGAAACTTAGAATTTGTGGTGTTAATGTCTCAAAATCACCAAACGGCGTCGGAGTAGCATGAAACTTGGCACACACGACCACCTTGGCACAAAAGACTTGTGGGAGAAGACGAGACTCGAATTGAGTTCCCGGTTTGGGAGTTAGAGCCAGATTTCACTCTAAGCAAATTAGTTCTTTAAAAAACTTAGAATTTGAGGTGTTGACACCCCAAAATCACCAAACGGCGTCGGATTAGCACGAAACTTGCCACATACGACCGCTTTGGCACGTGAGACTTGTGGGAGAAGATGGAACTCGAATTGGGTTCCTGGTTTGGGAGTTAGAGCCGGATTTCACTTTAGGTAAACTAGTTCTTTAAAAAACTTAGAACTCAAGGTGTTGACGCCTCAAAATCACCAAACGGCGTCGGATTAGCACGAAACTTGGCACACACGACCGCCTTGACACGAGAGACTTGTGGGAGAAGACATGACTCAAATCCGGTTTCCGGTTTGGGAGTTAGAGTCGGATTTCGGTTTAGGCACAATTATTTACTTAATTATCTTTCTAATTGTATAGTAGTTAAATTTTTATATTTTTTTTGTAGTTAACATATTAACACATAATTATATTGTCATTAATTATTTTCAATTTTTTTTTCTAGATATTTCTGAAGTAGAAGTTTGCTTCTTGTGGATTTCATGCCTGTGAAGAATGCCACTAATTTTTGTTTTTGTACCACGGAGAATGCTGAGGAAAACTTTTAATTTTGATTTGTGTTATTTTGAATTATGAATAACATTATGTATTTAAACATTATATATGTATTATGGAACATTATGTACTGACAAAATGGTAAGAATTACAACACTCTCTGTAATTCTCTCTCTCTTTTTGCTCTCTAAGCTCACACCTCTCTACTGTACTACAACTCTCCTTAGCTTCTCTATATATAGAGATTACAATGCAAGATTAATTGAGTTGGCTGCCAGCCCATTTCGGTGGCTTTCCAGATTGAAG